ACTTCTTCAAAAGAGAATGGTTCCAGACCCCTTAAGTTAATTCTTGTCCTCAAGAACTAGCAGCAATTCAGTTTTGTACTGGCAGCCATTCAAATTTGTTAAATTGCAGCCATTCAGTTTTATCCTCAAGAACTAGCAGCCATTCAAATTTGTTAAATTCTTACTGGTGGTTTCCTCTGTTATAATCTCAGGCTTCAGTTTGTGCATTATTGCATGAGGTTGTTCTATCCTCAAGTCAACTCATGTTCTGCCTGAATAATATTGTTACCAAAGGAGGAGCTAGCTTATAGTGTGCGGGTTCAGTCGAACCCAGTCACTTTTACTTAAACACTTATATGATCTGTATGACTTGTTTATTTGTATAAAGCTCTTAATTTTGCTCCATATATCTGTGAGTCATTTAGTTATTACCTATCTCTTTGATTTCTATTGATAAATAACTAAATTGCTTGAGTCACTAAATTGCTTTGTTGATACACAAGGTTCTGTAAAGGAGGTTCTCAGTTCCAACTTGAAAGAGGTGTTGGCAAAAAAAGAATTCCAGTGAACTCTAATTTGCCTCCATATACCATAGGGACTGTGTTGCTGAACCTGTCTAGTGATCCAAGGGATTAGGAGTCCATATTTTACCGTAACTACAGATCTCCAAAGTGCCTCCTCTTTGACACTAAATTATATAGTCACTTCCGCAGTAAGTTGTTCCTCTGTATCTTAAAGTTCTTCACTCCAAGTCCACCTGCCTCCTTATCTGTGGTGACTGTTTCCCATCTTACCAAGTTGAAGGTTCTGTGTTCTTCTTCCTTGCCATAAGAAATCCCTCCAAAGTATGTCAACCTTTTTGCCGCTGAAACAGGCATTGGAAACAAAGAGATAGTGTATGCGTGATATTATTCTGAACTTCGTAAAGATTATTCTTAACTTAGAAAAGCTTTGGTTGGAGGTTATCATTACACATTATCTTTATAAGTGGAATTCCTTGTGAAACTTAGTAGTGTCCTCATTAATTTAAAATAACAATTCCTGCGGCA